ATAATCAATTAATCAAATAAAATGCAATTAAAATAATTAAATAAATATCGAGACATCTTTTTAAAATTAGGAGTATTACATCACTCTATTGTGCCATTGTTAGATATAGCTTTGTTGATGATATTATACTATATGTAATTACCCTGATACAAGCTTAGGGTCTCGGGATCAGTGGTTAGGACTGAGGCGCATATTGGCGAAGGCGAGTAGCTTGTATAGGTGACTGGTGGGCCCTAGTAGTATAGGGGACTCTTGACTACTTTGTGTGCAATTTTTCAGGTGATATCCTCTATCAAGTTGAGGCTTCCCTATAAATAGAAGAAAGTATGTTAGTGTGTATATATATGTATGATTGTGTAGCTACTGCATGGGTTAGGTAGGGATGAATTGTTTATCGGTTCTCTGATTGGGTTGTAGTAGAGAGGACTTAGTCGTGGGATTTGATGTGTCGTGAATTTTACCACTAATAAATTACCACTCGCTATAGTACAAATTCTTGTAGGATAGGGCTATATTGAGAGTGTCGAACCATAGAGACTGTCATAGTTTATTAAGTGTTCAAATACGATTTTGATCTAGATAGAAAAGATTGTTTGATTTATTTGTTTGTCACGAACACAAAATAAATTTAAACTAAAATAAATGATAAGATCAGAGAAAGAAGATCTTAGGAATTGACTTCACCACGAACCTTGTACTACCCTTGGGATTTTAACAATTATGCATAATTTGGAATTAAACTCAATAACATTCATTTAATTCAGATTGAAAGAGAGATGTTCCATGAATTTCAACTAACTATAACTTATCTTCGGTTGGCACGAATTATCTACCTACCTACTTCTAACTAATGTTGTAGTATAACTCGTCTTCCCTAGGCATAGATTATGAAAATATTTATTCATGAAAAACATTTGAACACCTTTGCATGATCTCTATTCTTATTGTTCAAGAAACCCTTATGCCGCAAATCTCGTACACTATAGGTTGACTATAATTTAAGAACAATTAAATCTAAGATATGGTATTAATCATTCAAAAACTATTTAATTCATTAAAACCCAATTTATTTAAATCAATTGCTCATAATCATGCAATTACGATACATAAATAATTAAATTTCCAAAGTTAGAACAATCAAACCATAATACTCGGATTCGGGTTACATCAATGCCCTAAGAGAGGAATTAGCTACTCATGACGACGCAAGATATCATCTGTATTGTTGTGGTCTTCATCATCATGGACTGCACTTCTCTTCTGAGGATCTTTACCTTTAATCTTTCAGAACAACTACCAAAAACCCTAAAAGCCGCTACTAGATCTAGAATATTGAAAACTAATGAGAGAGATTTTCTGTGGCCTTGTGCCTCCTTTTATAGAAGTTACTGACTTCTAATAAGGCGCGCTTGGATGGGCTTTAGGTCTTCTAGGGTCATCTGGGCTCGTCTAGGATGAATTTTGACTTACTTAGAATAAATCCCGCAACTTAGAAAAGGCTCGAGTAGAGAAGCTTATGCTCGAGCTTTTTGGCATGTTATCGAGCCTTTTGGGTAGTGCTCGAGCAGGATTTCTATACTAAGCCATTTTTCTTCAAATATTTTCTGAAGCGTCTTTTTCATTAACACTTAGAATATTTTTGGGATAATTCTTCATGGTGCTCGATCACCTTGGCTTGGTGCTCGAGCCTTGGGACTTCTGCTCGAGCTTTTTGGTCTCAGCTCGAGGTCTGGCAACATGGAACTTTTGAAGCGTCTTTTTATCTTTTGAGGCAGTTTCTGCTCGAGCCTTTTTGCAAAGGCTTGAGCACCTTGAATCTCTGTTCCAGCCTTTTAGCCTTACTTAATTTCTTTGCTTTAGTTGACTTTGTGCTCGAACCATTGAACTTGTGCTCGAGCTTTGGCACTTGAACTTCTCCAAAATCATCATTTTGACTCTAAGCTTGCTTTTTATGATCGGCAATGACTCTGTAAGCTTCGATATCAGTCTTTTCATAATAAAATCCCAATTTTAACCATTTCTTTGGGAAAGTACCTACAAACACGAAGTAAACATAAATCAGTCTAAAACTGATTAGAAGTACAACTTTAGGTCTTAGCATATGCATGTTTAGGGGCTCGAATATGTAATATTCAGCGTTCATCAGGATTGACCCACCATTGTTATATTTTTCAAGTCCGCGTCAGTTTCAGACTTAAAGGTTGTTTGTGCTGATCAAAGACAGTTCTTCATCACTCTTCCATTTATCTCGACATAGGAGACTATCTTTTATTATTGCTATTAGATTCAAACTTTTATACTTAGTTCGGATTATGGGATTGATTTTGGGGTCCATGATCTACGGATTCCCAAGTTATATTTTGGAGGTTAGTATTATTATTACAATGGAATTATTTTTGGAGGATTTATAGATGGGATTTATTTATTAACTATTATTTAGATTTCGCTTTAGTGATTATTTATTATTTCTTATTTATCCATTTGTATTATGTGCTTGTTTATTATTAATTATTTGATATCCCCTGATTTTTGTGCAGTGACAGTCGTGGCTCCAAGGTGTCTATTTTTATGTATGATGTTGCTGAGAAAGTTGAATATTGGAAAATGTCTGTTGTGGGTTACGTTATGGGAAAGCGGCCGTATTATCATCGTCTTAAAACTTTTGTGGAGTGATGGTGGTTGAAGAAGGTTACAGTGGTATATGTGAAGAATGGATTTTTCATGGTTCTGTTCTAAAATGGAAAAGATGTGAAGAAGGCATTATCCAAATCCCCAAATGATGCCTCAGAATTGCCATGTGGTCAAAGATAGCTAGTCAATCCTTCTCACATGGCACCATGGAGTTGCCATGGGCCGGATTGCATTAACGGTTTGGAAATGATGACGGAAAAGGTTTTGGAAAATGAGGAGTGACATCTATATCTCATTGCATCCCATTGGAATTGTATTATGTATGTATAGTTTGGTTAACTTTGTTGTTGGTACATTCTCCCTAAGATAGCATGATCCCGGTTCCCATTCTCTATGCTTTGCTTGGATTCACGGGGTCATCAAGAGGTGTGTTTTAGGCACCTTCTATTGAGCCATTGTGCTCACCCTTTCATTATAATTATTTTCAGGTCACGGGAAAGAAGTGACGGACGATACTCCCCTATAAGTTTAGATGGATTGAATAGGACCTTAACTTCTTTTGTAATTAATGTATATGTTCCTATTTTTGTTGTAAATTTGTATTAAGAAATGTTATGTATCTATTTCATGGGTAGAAATGGTTTTGAGACATTCCTCTTGTATTGTGTGATTTCATTAGGATTTCTATGTTCAGGTAAGGCATTAAAGCCATATTTTGATGTAGCCGAAGTTATTCCAACCCCACTGGATGAAATGGACTCGTTTTTGGTTTATTTAAATGCAAGAATGTTCAATCATGTTTTATACTGTCAAATGTATGTTTCGGGGATAACTTTAGACCTTATACGAGGTCACAAATAGGCCAAGAAGGGTGTCGGGACTTCATATCAACAAGCACAGGCCAAACAGGCCTTAGTAGGGCAAGCCGGTTGACATCTAAGGGTTTCACGTTGACCGGTATCTTCCAGTGGGCTTTTTGTGCTTTTGGAGACAAACCAGTCGATGTGAAGTAGGAACAAGTCAATCGATTTCTGTTTTCCTCTTAATCTTGTTTCTTCTTCTTCTATAACTAATCCCAAGACATATGATGCTGTAATGGAGTAATATGAACCATTAAATGTTGTATTAATCATGCTTTGATATTAGAAATGACCTTATTGCCCTTAGATGATCTCGGGTTCGATTATGGATCCGGATAATAATTTGGACCCCAGGTTTGGGTCGTTACAATTTGCTACTTATCTCATAGTATAGGGATGTTATGTGTACATTACTTTATATATATATATATATATATATATATATATATTTCGAAACTTTTTTCTCTCTATATATCTCTAAACATTTTTTTTTTTTAAACTTTGAGAATTTATAGAACAAGGATTTGAATTTTTTGAGATTCTGGTTTATTCTTTTCTACTAAATTATTTTTTCTTTATTTTATTTTATTTTGTACCAACATTATTAAACAAACAAACAAATAAATAAAAATTCCCAATATCAGTGTGCACTGATTTCGGAGTTTGGAAAATTTTTGATTTCTTCAGTTTGCAAATTATTTTTACTTTTTATTTTCTATTTTTATCTTTACTTTTCTTTTATACTTTTAATTTATATTTTTATCTTTACTTGTCCAATGCCGACGTCGTCCAATAGTATCATTTTCAATCATTTTATAAGATTATTTATTTTTATATATTTTGTAAAATGGTCCAGTAAGAGTAATTTAATCAATTTAGGGTTTAAATTTGTCAGAGGGACGTATTTGCACCTTATTGAAACTTTAGGGGAGTTTTTTTGCACGAGAGGCACATCATCCAATAGTATCATTTTCAGTCATTTTATAAAATTATTTATTTTTATATATTTTATAAAATGGTTAAGTAAGGGTAATTTAGTCAACTAAGGGTTTAAATTTGTCAGAATGATCTATTTGCACCAAATTGATACTTTATAGGTATTTTTTGCATGTGAGGGATGTGATATGCACTATAAACATACTTTAAAGATATTTTATTCATATATATATATATATAGAGAGAGAGAGAGAGAGAGAGAGAGTGTTTGTGTGTGCGCGCGCAACAGATCATTTGCTTAAGATCTTTTACTTCATATCTTTTGCTTAAGATATTTATTTTGGTATAAATCATTTCAGTAGAGTAGGTATACATCACAATCTGCCTAAATTACAAATTTGGATGCTTAATCCAAATGATTTTTTTTTTTTTTGGTATAAAGTACTTAGTAATAAAGAGAAAAGGGTGAAAGAAAGATACATGCTATCTAATGAATTGTTACAACCAGTATCGAGCTAGTTTCTTTCATGTGAAGAGAAAACAAATTAGTTTCTCCATTGACAGCCTACAAGGGCTTGAAACCATGCTTTAATGCAGCTTTCCACACAACATCAATCTGGTCAACATCAATAGCCCCAACCTCATGGTGTGTCCAGCCTTCAAGAAGATGAACAACTCCACCCGCGTGACACGCATGAACTATGCTCCGAATCAAACACAAATTTGAAATCCCCAATCAGTAATTTTTGTCTGAGTTCTATTTCATTTTCTTCCTTAATTTCCTTGGAAACAAACAAATATAAAATCAAGAAAGATGATGATATATACCTCACATGATCCTAGCCCCTCGACATCCTCAGGGAGTTTCATGGCGGCGAGCTTACCATACGTGCAGTCTCCCCGGAAGCTAATGATAGGTGGAACCACAAACTGATGGAAGTGTGTTCCTGGTGGAGCCCAATTTTGGTCAAGTGGTGTAGTCCATCTACCAATAATCCATGTCTGTCAATTTACACAGGTTCTATGGGATGAGCATTAATTATTATTTAGTTGTTGGTTTCTCAGCAAACAAACAACCATATATGGAATTAATTGGAGTCATCAAGATATTCCGACCCCAATAGATGAAATGGACTAGTCTTTGGTTTATTTAAATGCAAGAATGCTCAATCATATTTTATACCATGAAATGTATGTTTCAGGACAGATTTAGACCTTATGCGAGGTCACAAATGGGCCAAGAAGGGTGTCGGGACTTCATATCAACAAGCATAGGCGAAACAGGCCTTAGCAGGGCAAATCGATCGACGTCTAGGGGTTTTACGTTGACTGGTATCTTCTATTGTGCTTTTTGTGCTTTTGGGTTTCACGTCGACCTGTATCTTTTCTATTAATTTTTTTTTATATTTTATTTTATTTTGTAGTAACATCGTTAAACAAATAAATAAATAAAAATTTCCAATATCAGTGTGCATTAGTTTTTGGAGTTTGAAAAATTTTTGTTTTTTTTCACTTTTTACTTTATTTTTGTTATTTATTTATTTTTATCTTTACTTTTCTTTTTATACTTTTATTTTTATTTTATATTTTTATCTTTACTTGTCTATTTCCGACGTAAGAGTAATTTAATCAATTTAGGATTTAAATTTGTCAGAGTGATCTATTTGCACCTTATTGAAACTATAGGGGTATTTTTTTGCACGAGATGGACTTCCTCCGATAGTATCATTTTCGGTCATTTCACAAAATTATTTATTTTTATGTATTTTATAAAATAGTGGATAATTTAGTTAACTAAGGGTTTAAATTTATCAAAGTAATCTATTTGTACCAAATTGAAACTTTAAAGTTATTTTTTTGCACGTAAGGAGTGTGATATACATGTAAATATACTTTATGGGCGTTTTCACAGAGACAGAGAGAGAGAGAGAGAGAGAGAGCAACCGATCTTTTGCTTAAGATCTTTTATTTCAGATCTTTTGCTTAAGATCTTTATTTTGGTATAAATCATTTCAGTAGAGTAGGTATACATCACAATATGTCTAAATTACAAATTTGGATGCTTAATCCAAATGTTTTTTTTATTTTTATTTTTTTTATTTTATGTTATAACAATTAAAATAAATGAATCTGCCATTCCTCTTGTTTTCTTAGATTCTGTTTGACAATATTCATCTTGAATGGATGATAGTTTATGTTTTAGTTGTCAAATAGGGCAATATAAAAATAAAAACTAGTGGCAAAAGTATATTTATATATTTTAAATATAAAGTATAGTGTATATGTATTATATAAAAAAAAGCTCCTCTTTTTTGTCTTTTTCGCTTTCATATTATTCCTTAATTAAGCAATTAGCATTAAAAAAAAAAAGAATCAATAAGAATTTGCATATCATAAACTAGTTACAAATACAACAATTCTTTCTCACTCGTGGAGCAGATCAACAATTTAATTGGACTAACCACTTTCATTTAATTTTTTCGCAAACTTTTCCATATGAACATAAAACGTTTAGTTATGTTATGTTCAATTTTTTATTCTTTCATTTGTGAACTTTGTATTTATTTATTTTTGTAATTCATTGCATTTTTAGGTGTTTTTATCACTTAATTCATGAAAAGGTAAAACAAAACTGCGGATGAGAAAATTGGTGAATTATAGATATAACATTTGTTTATTGTATTTGATGATGAAATGGAATTGGCGACATGGATAATTCTATTTCTCTTTTTTATTTTACGTAAAAGTTATTAAAATAAAATAATAATATTTTTTTTCTTCCATTCCTACAATCCTTTTCTTTTTTCTTGTCATACATTGCCTCGCTCTGCTAACAGTTGTTGCCTTCATCTTTTCTTTCTTTTGTATTTATCCAAAAACGCTTTTACAGCCAAATCAGCACCTTATTGGAAAGTAAATTAAATTTCTTTTCATATTTAGTCTTTTTATATAAGGATAATACTTAGTTCCTCACTAGTGAGGATCTACATCATTCTTATCGCATATGTGATCTAATGAAAAGAAAATACGTCATTTTTTATTAAATTGGCAAGAAAAATAAAATAAATGGGATCATACCCTAATGAGATCAGGTAAAGTAGGTTCAACGATTCTTATTAGTTTTATTTTTCAAGGATTCAACGTTGCTCTTTGGTTCGTTCTCTTTACGGCACCGGCTTCAGCCCTTTCTCCCCACCATATTCTTCCTCAAGGTTCTAGTCCCGGACATCATCATTCAATTGGCAAAAATATTTAAAGGAGGTATGATCTTTTCTTCTTTTTTTTTTTGTTCACTGATCATCGTCCAATATTTTTTCTCTAAATAAAAAATCAGCATTTAAATAAATAAATAAAAAAACGAAAATAGAGAGCGAGAGAAACAGTTGTGAGGATCAAAATTTGTTCAGGTTCTTGCAAATTCCATTGAAAGAAAAAGAAGGTGGGGAAGGAGATAAAGAAACAGATCAGATTTTTGGGAGAAAAAGAAAGAAGAAAAAAACTAAGGGACATAATCTAAGGGAATTCAGGTTTTTGAGTTTTGTGTTAACATGTATTTGGATTCTTGAATCTAACACAATCTTTCATGGAAAGCCCCTTTCTAGAAAAAGAGCCCTAAATGTATGGGGAAAAAATTGATCATACCGCCTTCAAATATTATTGCTAATTGAATGATGATGTTCAGGATTAGAAGCGTAAGAGGAAGAATATGGTGGAGAGAGAGGGCTGAAGGTGCTGGAGAGAGAGAACTAGAGAGCAATGTTGAACTCCATTGAAAAAAAAATAATAATAAAAAAAATAGTGCTTGGGAGGAAGAAGATGGTGGAGAGGGAGGGCTGAAGGTGGGAGAAAGAAAGAACTAGAGAGCAACTCTGAACTCCCTTGAAAAAAAAAAAATTTAGTGAACCCACTTTACCCGATCTTATTTGGGTAGATCCAATTTATTTTATTTTTACTAACATGTTTAATAAGAGATGATAGTGTTTTCTTTTCATTGGACCACATAAACGGTGAGTATAATGCAGATCTTCACCAGTGAGGACTTAAGTATTATCCTTCATATAATGATATGTATGTGTGCATTCATCATATTAGTGGAAATTATGTAAAATAAAAAAGGGTAAAGTACAAAAAAACTCTCTAAATTACTCTATTTCTCTCTCTCTCAAAACCCCCAACTTTTACTTTTACACTACCCCAGAACTATCAATTTTTTTACAAAAATTATCCACCGGCGAAATTCCATTCGATTCTTCTCGTGAAATACACGTGTGATGATCAAGCGGCATAGCTGAAATTCAAAAATGGCGAAGTTACCCTTATTACCTTTAGGAACTATTATATTAATGGTATAAAACTAAAATTCCCCGATTGAAATCCCCAAATTGTTTGAACAGGGCTTCAGTCTATTGGAACCCAACCTTCATTTTCGACCAAATTGTCATTTGATGATTCTCCGCAAGCCAGTCAAGAATCACAAACCGAACCACAATATGTATGTGATGATTTGTTTTTTTTTTTCTTTTATATATATATATATATATATTTATATATTTTCTTTTAATGTCAATTGTTTATTTCAAAAGGGGTATTATTGACTTTTCGTATGTAAATGACATACTTGGCATTTGATATGAGGTGGAGGGGCATAGTACACTTTTTCTATGGAAAGGATATGAATGGAATTTGGTATTTTTTAAAGGGCTTTATGGTCATTTTACATAGTCCCAGCTTTGACCTTGTTGTGGTCTTGACACATGGGGTTACACATGGCAGCCCCTTATGTGGATGTGTGGCATGTCTTTAGTATAGCAATTGAAGAAAATTTGGGTGTTAAAAACTTTCGGCAGAATTCTTTTTCTAGTTTTCTCTTTCCCCTACGGCATTTTCTCCCTCCACAGACACTCTCTTTTGTTAGGAATTATATTTCAAATTCTCATTATTATTAGTTTTTATTTTAGAGTGTATTTTTTATGATAATTTCTTATAGAGATGTGAATTAGGCTCTAAGAAATTATAATCCTTGTTCACAGAGGAATTGGATATGTAACTCTATAAATAGACACTTAGGTTATTGTTGAGAATGATGTAACCTCATGAGGGAGTACGTTGATGGTAGGGGTGAGTTACGATTTTGGTAGAGTGAACACTGATGGCGAGAGGGAGTCTCGTAGAGTACGCGGAGAACTCGATCAAGAGTTTGTGTGTATAGTTTGGTGTTGATATTCTCTACTATTGTAATATCTTTACATATATAGTGAATCTCTTCTCGGCTTCAGTTGTAGGTGGAGTCAATCGGCTTGGTTACATAGAGATTAAGCAACGTATAGTAGGGATAATCCGAGTTCTGCAATAAGATAAAGAAGATTGAAGTCGTAGAGAATTGTCCAGATTTAATTGCCATGAGAAGCGATAATTGACGTAATGAAATTTGAGCCAAGGTGGAGATTGTTAGGAATTATGTTTCAAATTCTCATTATTATTAGTTTCTATTTTAGAGTGTATTTTTTTATGGTAATTTCTTATAGAGACGTGAATTGGGCTCTAAGAAATTGTAATTCTTATCCACAAAGGAATTGGGTAGTGACTCTATAAATAGACACTTAGGCTATTGTTGAGAGTGATGAGTTGAGAGAGATGTAGCCTTATGAGGGAGTACGTTGATGGTAGGGGTGAGTTACGGGTTTGGTAGAGTGAACACTGATAGCGAGAGGGAGTCTCATGGAGTACACGGAGAACTTGGTAAAGAGTTTGTGTGCATGGTCCGGTGTTGAAATTCTCTACTATTGTAATATCTCTACATATATAGTGAATCTCTTCTCATCCGTGGATGTAACTCTGATTTTGGATGAACCAAGTATATATCTTGTGTTGTGGTTTGAATTATTTTTCTTTCTTTTTTTTGCTTTCGTTGTGCCCCAACATCTTTTAAGTTTAATTTTGAAGGTTTTGTAGTGAGATTTTGGTAGGGTTTTGTGAATGAAAGTTGTTCCTGTGATCTTGGGCTTCTTTTTGATATAAAGGTTGCAAATATTTTATCACTATTTGGGTTTCAAAAAGGGGTTTTAAAGAGGAAAGGTGGTGGTAGTAATTTTAAAGTGTGTTCTTTATTTTCTTCTAAATTTGGTGGCTTTAAACATCATTTGGATTGTTTGGCAAGGGTTTGGATTTCAATTGAGGTAGGGTTGTCCTAAACCTCACAATCTTTACCCTTTTGTGAATTATTTCCTTTGAAATTGTTGAAATTGAAATTTAAAATGTTTAATTGAGATATCTTTATGTGGGAAGGTGTATTTGAATGCTAGACTTATTATGGAGCACTGTTATTACTATTATAATATAAATGTGAGGAAGAAAACATGCTTTATGTGTTATGTTCATTAACAACGCAATTTAGAACATAATGTGATTATGTGATGTTATTCTGTTAATGAGCATGCTAGCATGTTGTGAAAATTGCAATAACCATGTTTATTGTATATGGAACTGAGAGTGGATAGTTGGTTTTAAAATGTGGTACATCCTATCATTACAAATGTACATTCATTTTGCATGGTTTTGGAATGAGTTTGGAAATGAAAAGGGATGTGGAGACATCTCATTAGATGGTTATTGATAAAAGAATTAGAAAGGAATGTGAATTGGGGCCAACCGGACGGTAAGGTGATGACTTGTGTCCGTGTAGTTAGTGGAATCTAGAGGAGACGTAGAGAAATACCTTATGGGTGGTTGAGTCACTAGGCCTCAAATGGCGCTAGGGGGATGACTTAGGCCAGGGATAGACGACCAATTTTCTCTTTGAGGTGTCGGGGGGATGACTCGGACCAAGTTGCACTAACTGTGTGATTGTTGTTGGATGAGGTTTCGGGAAGTGGGAAGTGTCTTTGGTATTGGCATTAGCATTGCATTGCACTTCACTTTTTTATCTTACATGATATTATGTTTTCCAGAGCATGTATGGTCCCATTATCTTATATTTGTTCTATGTGTAGATTTACAGAGGTATTAAGGAGTGCGCTTTAGGCAACTTCTGTTGAACTGTGGTTGTTCATTCTTATTTTATACACATCTTTTCAGGTCATGGCAAGAAAGTCATAGAGGACATTCCTCCTCAGCTGTAGATAGAGTCGGGGCGCTTGTATAGCAAACAATGTATAATAGTGAGACAATGTGTTGTATAATGTGGTTTAGTACATCCCTGTTGTGTAATAAACTCTATTATAGACTCTGAGATTTTATAGTTGTAAATGATGTATCTTACTTGTATATTTTCCTACATGGGACTGTAATGGGAATGGATAGGTGAATGTTGTGTATGTGAGACAGGTTATAGGGATGTTAGTATTTGAGATGGTGGTTTATTAATGTGGTGTGTTCATAATCCGAGACTTAGGTCTTGGGACATGACAATGTAATTCAAAAACCAACATATCAATGGGTACATTTGTAATTTTCTTTTTCTAATACAAGAGAATGACCTGATATCCTTAAAGTGCACAGTTTTAATAGTTCAGGGGGGTGGTTTTTAATTCAGGGAGGTTTTGTGCAATTGGCTTATAGTTTAGAAGGATTTTTTACACTTTACCCAATAAAAAAGTATGGGAATTGAGATTGGTAAAAGTCAAGTTAGTAAAGTAGCAGAAGTAATGTGGCATTAATATGCAATTGGTTATATATATATATATATATATATATATAAAGAGAGAGAGAGAGAGAGAGAGAGAGAGAGAGAGAGAGATATTTTGCTTAAGATCTTTTACTTTATTCTGGCATGAATCATTTCAGTAGAGTAGGTACACCACAATCTGTCTAAATTAATTTGGATGCTTAATCCAAATGGCGTTTTTTTTTTTTGGTGTGAAGTACTTTGTGAAAGAAAGATCCATGATATCTAATGATGGATTGTTACAACCAGTATCTAGCTAGTTTCTTTCATGTGAAGAGAAAATATATTAGTTTCTCCATTGACAACCTACAAGGGCTTGAAACCATGCTTTAATGCAGCTTTCCACACAACATCAATCTGGTCAACATCAATAGCCCCAACCTCATTGTGTGTCCAGCCTTCAAGAAGATGAACTACTCCACCCGCGTGACACGCATGAACTATGCCTCTTCCCAATCGATACTATGCTCCGAATCAAAACACAACACAAATTTGAAATCCTCAATCAGTAATTTGAATTCCTCAGGAAAGCTAGTATGAAGGTGAGACGATGATATATACCTCACACGATCCTAGCCCCTCGACATCCTCAGGGAGTTTCATGGCTGCGAGTTTACCATACGTGCAGTCTCCCCGGAAGCTAATGATAGGTGGAACCACAAACTGATGGAAGTGTGTTCCTGGTGGAGCCCAATTTTGGTCAAATGGTGTAGTCCATCTACCTATAATCCACGTCTGTCAATTTTCACAGGTTATATGGGATTAGCATTAATTATTATTTAGTAGTTAGTTTCTCAGCAAACAAACAACCATACATGGAACTAATTAATTAGAGTCGTCAATATCCCCTTGTAGCCCTACATACCTTACAGTGTTTAGCTGATTGATACTTTGTCACGTGAACTAGAAACTTTTGGCAATCCAATGGGGCTTCTTTTTGAATACTCATGAATCGTTCGGTTGATTGTGTTAACATCTGCAGTTAATAACATGTTTTATTCCTTCTTTTAGTTGGAATCCAAATATTGTTGACTAAGGGACTGAGAAAACTCATTGGAGGACTCAACAAAAAGATAATCAAGTTAAATTTGGACCAGTAAACTAGTGTTAATCATGCTAATGCATACCAGGACCCTGACCCTTCGACCAGCTAGGTAGAGGGCAATGGCCCTTCCGAGCTTCGAAGTAGCTCCGGCCAAGAAGACCTCTTCTACATCTCGAGGAATCTCATTAAGAATCACAGCAGCAGTCAGTGTGTTTCCATGGACCACTCGGACTCTAAGGTTGGGATGCTTGTTAACATATAGCGTTCCACCTCCATTTAGACCTTCATTCTGTACATCAGAAATGAAAAATTGTCCAGATTTAACAAATTCTATCCACGGCAAGTGTACCGTGATATGCTCATTTGAGTTTCTACAAGGGGGAAAGAAATGGATCGAAAACCGACCTTATTCAATGCAGCAAGGCTTAGGACCTTAACACCAATTCTATCTGCCTTGATGATTGCTTCTTCAATTTGCTTATTAATGCCTTCCATTGCAAATGGCAAGAAAAACTGCCAATCAAATCAATATAAATACATCGAACACTCGACTCCAGTATTGATTTTTGCTATTTTTGCTTACAAAAATGTGGCCTAGTGTTGTAATGTCCAAAAAAAGAAGATAAAATGACTTGTCCATTTTCCCAATTTTTAACCATCATATAAGAAGATTTAGGTAGGTACCTGAAAGCCAAACCTGGGAACAGTCCATGTCTGGTACAGCCTTCCTCTAAGATTGAAAAAAGTGATCAAGAAAGTCTTGGACTTCGCCCACATGACGAGCATCACCAAGAAAGTGAAAGGCCACATCGGAAATAAGAAGAGCGCTGTCGTGAATGGCATGGAACTAAATGATCGAAACAAGAAGGGAACATGCATCGCTTGCATTACGTCCACAACATGTGCAAGGAACACAAAATCGGGTGCTCTTCCATTTTTGCCTTCCATTCAAAACGAACGTTATTAGATGGTGAGAGATTTCCACATTTCGATGGATAACAAGCAATTTAGAAGATTAATAAACCGAACCATACAAAGATTTCAAGCCTTATAATGAGTTGCTGGTCAACAAGGGCAGCAGGATTCAAGATAGGCTATACTTTCTAAAAGTATAGCCTATCTTGTGTTTTTGTAGGATTTTAATTGATTGATAAGGTTGTTGTATTGACTCACTGGCAGCTGAACTTATTTCTTTGTGAAGGTCCCAAGAGCGGTTGTTCACCGTCTTCCCCAGTGCATCATAGAGAGGCATAAAAAGGCAGAGATTGGTACCCATATTCATGTGGTGTAAGCTGTGGTAACTGCAGAAGTGAACATGGGGAATTATAAATATTTTAACATGATTTTGACGGAAATATAAAATAGAATATTTGTAAAATTGAATTTCCAATATCAGGTCACCTAAAATTTTGTAAGAATATGAATGACAAGTAAACAAAATGCTCATTCGAGGCCTAGTACAAAAGTTCAAAGCGAAATTTGTGGACGTACGTTGGTGTATAGATGAGATATCGAAGAAATGGGAAGGTTTCGAACAGACGATGAGGAATGATTTCAACATTGCTGTGTCCCAAACATCTTAGAAAATCAAAGATCAAAACATAGCTGTAGAACATGCTTATGGATCCATATCCAATCAAGGTGGTCCCAAGGGTAGGCACAACTACAATTGCAGAGAGTATTAAATGTTCCAAAAATGTTGCATGCCCAGCTGCACCAAACAAAAGTTGTACAAGAACATAATTATACCACAAATCAACAAACAATGTATATATATATATATATATATATATATTGACTAAAACCTAGAATACCGGTAAAGAACTTGTGCTGGTACAAAATATTCAAAAAGAAGAAATGAGGATTTATCACACACACACACAGTAGATTGTGGTTTGTACCTGTAAAGGGATGTGTGACCTTAGAGGCATGGTGTAGCCAATGGTAATGTTTATAAAGATACTGAGTATGCAAAATTCTGTGTATCCAATAATATAGTGGCTCTGAGAGTACCACGTGCAATATTAGACAGCATATAATCCCCTTTGTGTTCCACATAGGGAGATTAGCTAGGGAAGGGAAGCTAAAATAGGCCATTGTAGCCACAAAAGCTTGAAGGATTATGAAATTGTCCCTGTCAAAATATAAACAGATATAAATTTACATTTATTCAGCAAAATATAGTAATTGTTGTACAGAAATGGACTCAAAAGAGAAGAGAAATATACCAGTTCCATTCCCGGTCGATTTGCTTGAAATCTATGCCGGATTGAGACACACGACGATTGCGGTTGAGGAAAAGCATATGGTGATAAGAGCTCCATAGCTGATGAACAAGGCCTCTGAGTGCACATATGATGAGAACATGCAGACACCAACTATCATCCTTGTGGGTGTCCTCCCAAATCCTTGAATTTAGTAGTTTTGCAATAAATGGTCCATATAACAAATACTGTCACACCACAAATGAAACATATATATATATATATATATATACACAATTAAACCATATTGTATATAAAGTGAAGCAAAGGAGAGAGAAAATTTATCAAATTTGCAAGAAATGGTCCATATAATAAATACTTTCATACCACAAACATAGATACAATTAAACCCTATTTTGTGTGTGTATATATATATACATATATATATATATAAGCTCGTGACTAAAGAGATAAGAGATTAGTGGATGCCTTGTAAGAACCCAAATTGTCCCAAGGCCAACCAAACAAGGGAGCACCCATTTTCCCTGGAAAACAAATTCTTTCATCTTCACTTGTTTTCTTTTCAACCATTCCGTGAATTTGTCTCTCCATGAGAGAAATTAGGAAATATGAGCAAAGAAGGACAAGGGAGTCTTCTGTTTTGATGGATCTAAAGCCTTTTTTCCTTTCTTCTCTAATGATATTCACTCTTCCACCCTATAGACCTCCAATTATATATACAAAGATATATGTACCAATATATCTAAAAAAACAGTTCAAAATATTCGTAGGCCACAGTTATACTTATCCATCAGTGATTTTTTTTTTGGTTTCTGGTTTTGGAGTTATGTCTTGAATTGACAATCCTCCAATCTCAACCAAAATCGTGTTTAATTCAAACACAATGGTACAGCTGTGCTGGTGGCATTTCCATAATTCTTGTGAAAGAGAGAGATGGTGAGAGAGAGAGTGTGTGTGTGTTTTGGATTCTAAGTTATGTTGGGAGTATTAATGCGGTTGGTTCTAGTTAGGGGTGTGTTTCATTGCTTCTAGTCGAGGCTTTTCTCTGGCTTACTAAACTCAGCTAAGTACCAGTAGAGTAGTTCCAATGTTCATCATGTGTAAGGTGTGGGATGTGTGGTGGAATGAGACTTAATATAATCACTGATCGAGTTTGATCTGCATTCCCTACCTAACACCCCACAAAACTGGGGCACTCTTAGCTTCAATTCTTCTTCTCACTTTGAAAGTCCAAATAACTACATTATTGGACATTGCAATTATACACATCCCTTTTACCGTTTTTATTTTATATATATATATATATATATATGACAATACTTAGATCTAATATACACACTATTGATGCGGATCAATATAAATAAACATGTCATCTTTAATTACCAAATCAAAGATGGTGGGGGATAGATACTCAATTACCAAATCAGGTACTTATTTGATTACCATCTATGATTTGGTAATTAAAATAGGATATGTCCGCATCAATATAAATAAACATATCATCTTTAATTAACAAATCAAAGATGGTGGGGGATAGATACTCAATTACCAAATAAGGTACTGATTTGATTACCATCTATGATTTGGTAATTAAAATAGGACATGTCCATTTATTAAAAAAAAAAAGATTGGGAAACAATAATTAGAATAAAAATGATAGAAATCTGCATATAATTAAATAGAAAAAAATAAAAAATAAAAAAATAGATCTTTTACTCTTTGTAAGAAAAAATATAGAAAGGGAAGATGACAAAACAGTTATAAAAGTATTTTGATAATTTGTAAAAATAATTAGAATACATATGTTTAACATATTTATATAATATTTATATCGAATCGAATTATTATTCAATCGAATTGACCATAATTCATATTCAATTCGTTTAGTTAACAAATTATCGAATTTGAATCAATTTAATGAATTAAATTTTCAATCTATATTCAAATTATTGGTTCAGATTAGGATAATATTAGATCCAGATCATCTGTAATGACCGAGTAATATAATATTATAAATGTCGATATTAAGATGTGAATAACTACCATTCACAGTCCACAGATTTTTATTCTTTTTTCAATTTCATTCATACAAGACAGTTAACAAAGATGATGATATTTTATTAATCATTAATTAATTTTACAAATAAGCATTTATATTATCACGAAAGAACAATTAGTTTGTACAATAATTATAATTAATGTTCAGTTTTGGACCTTTGGTTTAGCCCTTTTGTTACTGTTAACAAAGTGTTATATGTTTAAGATTAAATAGAGTTTGGTTGATGCAGTTTAGGTAGGTCAAATTTTCTATTTCTTACTCTAAGCAGTTTTTTTTTTTTTTTGTTTTTTTTCCCCTCACCAAACACAATTGAAAATGAATATTGAAATTAAAAAGCACATTTAACTGTTCTAACCGCAATGCCAAAAATGCCCTTGTACTTATAATTAATTATGGCCATACCGTTACCTAACAACATGTCAACCACCCTTTAATCCAAAACGTACTAAAATCTTTAAATTTAAGGGGCAGTTCATAGCCAAAAAGAAAAAAATGGAAATAAAATTAAATTTTCATTGCCACTACTTTTTTAAGGAATAAACCTACTTCTGCTAAGTCAATTGTGCCAACTCAATCACAAGTAGGGGACCAAACACGTTTAATTAAGCCCCACAACATCGACTCAGCACAATTAGCATGACTCTCTCTCTCTCTCTCTCACAATTTATGTGTGTTTACAATTTGAACATGTTGATATGATTATCTTAGGCATGACAGATTTGGGGTTCTATTTTTGTGGTTGGGAATAAAACGAAAAAAAATAAAATAAAATAAAATAGATTAGCATTCTAAAGTTCTTATCATATGTGGTGAAACTACGAGTTTTTCACAAATTTATGATTGTACTACCAAGTTAATATCTCTTTGCTACAGTTGAGGGAAAAAAATTCCCACCAAAGGAAACATGGCAGCTGTATATGAAGAGTTCCAGTCTTTATGTGATCAGTGCAGAAAATTTACTATTTTATACTCAATAATAAATAATTGATTAATATTTTTTATTAAATAAATGCTCTTATCCCTTCTTCTCATGTTTTATAGGGGCTGATTTCGGAATGAGAAGAAAAGAGACAAAAATAGTAAAAATATGATTGTATGGATAATGAGATTCAAATTCAAAACTGGCTTTTCCCATCAAATCAGTAAATATCAACCCAAATTGGAAAGCATATCAAGTCAAATTAGAAAGCAGCAAGATTTTTTTATTTTTTATTATTTTTACTTTGTAATTAGAATTTTTCCTTCTTAATTGTTCCATTCTAAAGTCTATAAATAGGAACATATGTAAAGGAGATGGGATGTACAGAGTTAGAGATCGAGAGAAAATAATAAAAAGCTAAAGATTTTTTATCTTGAATTTCTTTCTTGTAATTTTTATTTTTATTTTTATGAAGAACATATTTATTTTTAGTTTTATGTTCTTGTTAAAATGCTAGCTTAAACACCTATTTATTAAGGGAGTGGTGAAGCCACCATGGCTGAAATATAAGTAAACTTATGTGCTGTTTAATAAAATTGAAAATTATGCACTGAAAATCTTAAGTACTGAATTTTAAGTGCTGAAATTTTAAGTGATGAATGTATTAATTTGAAAACCCATTTGATAATGTTTTAATTTTAAGTACTAAATTCATTAAGATTGTTTGTTATATACAAAAGCTGAAGTCTGAAAATTGTATAAATTATATTTTTGCCCTCAATATATGGTGTTGATGCGAAAATCCTCACGACTCAGAACGACGGCGTTTATTTGCAAAACAAATGGACGTCATCTCGAATGGCATCGGTGGGGTGCCAGCCAAGAATTCTCCGACGATCAAGTTAATACTTGTAATCGTATCACATAATCATTATGTAATATTATGTTGAGGGGTTTTTTCTCGTACCTTCTTTAACGGCTTGGTGCCCTATTTATGGCTGTCGATTGGAATCAAATTGGTCCCGCGGGAGATCCGCTTGTGTGAGATCAGAGGAGATCGTTTGTTGCCAAATTTGTCGGGGACGTGATTTACTCCTTTGATTTTCTCAAATTATGTTAAGGTTATCCTCACCCTATTGAACCACGTCGTCAGATAACGAAATATACCGAAGAGGTTTGGCGGCTAGTTAAGGTAGGTTATTTTTCCCTATCAGTTGTCCCCCATTCCCAAGCGTGCTCGTCTAGCTTTGGGAATGTAAATTTATTTTTTATTTTTTTTTCCGGCACTATTCTCGAGGGAACAGTACCCGTGGGTACTATTCACTAGAATAGTAAAACTTTTTTTTTTTTTGCCCCGGCACCGTCCCCACGGGTACTGTTCACTGGAACACTAATTTTTTTTTTTTTTTGCCCTAGGCATTGTTCCCTTGGGAAAAGTGCCCGTGGGTACTGTTCATGTGAACAGTAATTTTACTTTTTAATTTTTTTAATTTTTTTTTTTTATTTTCTACCTTGGGTACTCTTCCCTTGGGTAATTTTTTTCCCTTGGGTACTCTTCCCTTGAGTACTATATTTAGTACTCTTCCCTCGGGTACTATTTTTAGTACCTTTAGGTACTCTACTCCCGGGTACTATTTTTGGTACCCTTACGTACTTTGCCCCTAAGTACTATTTTTAGTACCCTTGGGTATTCTGCCTCTGGGTACTATTTTTGGTACCTTTTGGTACTCTGCCCCTAGGTACTATTTTTAGTACCCCTGGGTACTATTTTTGGTACCCTTGGGTACTCTGCCCCTGGGAACTATATTTGGTACCATTGGGTACTCTGCCCCTGGGAACTATTTTTGGTACCCTTGGGTACTCTTCCTCTAGGTACTATATTTGGTACCCTTGGGTACTCTGCCCCTGGGTACTATTTTTGGTACCCATGGGTAATCTGCTCCTGAGTTCTATTTTTTGTACCCTTGGGTAATCTTCTCCTGGGTACTATTTTTGGTACCCTTGGGTACTCTTCCCCTGGATACTATTTTTGGTACCCTTGAGTAATCTTCCCCTGGGTACTAATTTTGGTACCCTTGGGTACTCTTCCCCTAGATACGATTTTTGGTACTCTTGGGTACTCTTCCCCTGGGTACTATTTTTAGTACCTTTGGGTACTCTGCCCCTAGGTACTATTTTTAGTACCCTTGGGTACTCTGCCCCTGGGTGTTATTTTTGGTACCTTTGTGTACTCTTCCCTTGGTAAGGGAATAAATTGTATGAATTTCACTCAGGTTATCACTCCTTTAATAAGGGAATTAAATTTTATGAGCTTTACTCAACTCGTCCCTTCAGTAAGGAATTTTTATTTACTATACCTCATAGTAAGGGGATATTGATTACGGGATTCATTTAGCCCGGGTCCTTGTAATACATGACACTTATTTACTATTCCTTATAGTACGGGGATATTAATTACGGGATTCATTCAGCATGGGTCCTTATAGTACAGGACATTTATTCACTATCCCTTATAATACGGGAATATTGATTACGGGATTCATTCAGCCCGGGTCCTTGTAGTACAGGACACTTATTTACTATCCCTTATAGTACGGGGATATTAATTACGGGATTCATTCAGCCCGGGTCCTTTTAATACTAGACACTCATTATCATCCTTTGTATCTCTTTAGTAAGGGAATTAAATTTTTGTCAAGCGTCGAGAATGCCAAGTCCTACTGAGCTAAGCATGCTTGATGATTACTTTCTTGCCCCTTTTAGTAAGGGAAGTGGATTTGCTCGAGCATTGTGAGCTCTCTCTTTAATAAGGGAGTAGTTAACCCGTCGTCTTTTTACCGAGGGTATGGGGAAAGAGGTGCAGTTTGAAGGAGGGTGACCTCTTTAATATGAAAGGTAGTCGTCTTGTCTTTCTAGTAAATGAAGGAAACTTAAATTATCTCACCCTTCTGTGCAGAAGGAGTAGTTGGCTTCTTGTCCCTTTAATGAGGGAAGAATGTGTTGTTGGCCTCTCGTCCTGGACGATCAGTGCCCCCGAGGGGTCGCTAAAGGAGAGAGACTAAAAACCCGACTAGCTCGATGTACCAAGGTTGGTA